AGCTGCCTTGTCTGAGCTGAGCTGCGCTGCTACTACTGAGAACACTTTGTGAAGACTCTGGAAGCTGTAGCTAACCCAAACGGGAGGACCCAGTATTGGCTGTGGTGGGAGCCCACCACAAATCTGAGGAATCATCTGTGGAAGGGGTGAATATCCACATGAAAATATGCATCTTTCATACTGAGAGCTGTGAACCATGTGTCTCTTTCTAGGGATGTATTATTGGTGCCACTGAAAGCACATGGAATTTCAGTTTGCAAATAAAAATGTTGAGCCAACCCAAGTTGGGAATGGATCTCCAGCTTCTTTTCTCCTTGGGAACTAGGAAATAGTTTGAATAGAACCCTTTCCCTCCTTCCCCATCAATGTTGAGGGTGTACTTGCTCTATTGCTCCTTTTGGAGAAGAGATTCTACCTCTTGAAGGAGGATACGCTCATAAGAATGGTCCCTGAAAAGGGACAGGGAATGGGGTTTTGGAGGAGGTGGGAGGCAAAACTCAATGGTATAGCTGGAATGGATGATATCCAGCACACACTTGTCTGTTATCACCCTCCAATTGTGTGAAAATTTTGCTAGGCATCCCCCGAAGTGGATCTCAGAATCAGGTAGAGATGTCATCAATATTGTATTGCAGCTCTCAGGCATCTAGCCAAAAATATCTCTTGGTTGGGGGAGGAGGTTGGTTAGCTGTGGTTGAAGTGGAAGGTATCCTGGCCTCTGCATTTTCTGTCATTTGTGAGGTGGCTCATAAGAGTGCTAGTGATAGAAATATTGAAGTAAGTGCTTCGGTTTGTATGGCTGTTCATGGCATTTTCTCTTTGGGGCCAGTTGTACATATACCCAGGGAGTGGAGGGCTGCCCTGGAGTCCTTCACCAAGTGTAAAGACTCATTTATCTTCTCACTGAATGAGCCTAAACAAAGATCAAGTCCCCACAAATGTTTTGGATCTCCATGGAAAACCCCGAAGACCGCAGCCATGATTCCCACTGCACAATTCCCACTGGTTGTTGCCATGGATCTTCTTGTTGCATCATCTACAGCTTATAATGAAGTTTTGGCCGCTAGTTTGCCCTCATCAATAAAGGCTCGAAATTGAGCCCTGTCCTCCTGAGATAACTTGTCCCTAAAGTCCAGGAACTTAGAGTAATACAGGAAATTGTATTTGGTGATAAGGGCCCGATAGTCTGAGATTCTAAACTGAAGGCTGGTAGATGTGAACACATTCCTCTCCACAAGATCTAGAGACTTTGGCCTCCTTATCTGCAGGGGTGGTGCTTGGATGTTGCTGTCTGGATATTTTCAGAGCTGCCTGGACCACTAAGGAGTTCAGGGCAGGGTGGGTGAACATGAATTCTACTCCCTTACCTGGTATAAAGTACCTCTTTTCTACCCTCTTGGGAGTCAGGGCAGGTAGCCAGTGTGTGCCACTTAGCCATTGCTGGTTCTAGTATGGCTTCATTTACCGGGAGCACAACCTGACTGGATCTCAGACTGTAGGATATCCAGGAATGGAATAAATAGGGATCAGCACCCGAAGAAGTACCTTTTACCAGATTCTGTGGGCTTCCCTGTGTCTGTTACAGCTGTCCCCCTGCTGCATTCTTTTTTTCCCCTCTCCTTTCTGTTGGTCCTGTGTGGCCGCCCCTCCCGGCCATTGTGCTAACTAAAGTCACAGCCCTATTCATAGGAATGGCTTGTACAGACTAACTGAAGCCATTGCTCTGCCTAGGGAGGGGGCTTCTTGCTTCTTTGTTTGGTTCCTTTATTCGGACCCGGGCTTGGTGTGGGGGGCGCTGCCCAGAAATGCAAGACCTGAAGTGGCCAACTAATTAAGCATATGAGTCATACCTGTGGCTCAGAACATGCCCAGGCATGCTTATGCTTACCTGCAGCCTTTCCCTGCCTTCTCTTCTCCCCTGTATCAAGAGGAGCCAATCAGAAGTACTGGTGGGAAACTGCCTGAGTTTGCCTTTAAAGCCAGACATTTTCTGATCAGACCTCGGAGAAGGTCCTTGCTTTGCCACTTGGTCTGATCAGCTAGGGGTCTTTGGGGGGCCCTCTCCCCGCTCTCGTTTGTTTTTGAGCATACCCCGTTTTTAAACTCCCCTCCCACGAACAACGAATTTGTGCCTGGAGATCTCCTGATTATTGTAAGCGAATCGAGTCCTCTCTCCATCCTCCGATGCTACTGCCGTTCCTGTCTCTGTGCTTGCTGCTGTCCTGGAGAATGGTAAGAACTCCCTCTTGCAAACTCCCCCTGTCCTAGCTGCTGGCCTTGTTTCCCCAGCAGACAGACTCAAGCTAACTCCTTGGTCTGTATCTGTAATCTGTTTCTGGCTCCGCAGCGCCTTTGCTGCTAGAAATAAGCCTGTGCCGCTGCTAGGCTGTGCCTTCCTGGACTGTATCCACCCCACTGCTGCGGCCACCACTAGCGCCCCCCGGGTTGTACCCTGGGCACACACCACTCTGCCCTCTGGAACTGCTCCCCCTCCCGATCAAAGAAGTGGCAGGGAGTGTAAGGTGCACCTATTAGAATCAGGTTCTTAGTCCAGATAAGTTGTAATTTCATTTTGCATAGCTGTGGTTAAGTTAGGTTTAAAGAATTGTTTGTATTGTGCTCTGTAAGTTAGGTTTAAAAAAATTGTTGCATTGCGTTCTGTTACTTGCTAATTTGTGTAGTCTTGGCTAAGTTAGATCATAGATAAGATTTTGCTGTGTTCTGTATAATTGTGGTTAAGTCTGTCTTCCCGCTACCCCCCCCCCCACCCAAGCTTGCCCGTGTCTCCCCCCCGAGCTCCCCAGTCACTCGTTGCAGTCTCTCTGCTGTTTAAACTTGCAGCCTGTCTGCTCTCTGTGTCTCCCTGAGTTTAAATCTCCCTCCGCAGCGCCTCTGCCTTTGGTCTCCGCTCCACCACGTGCTCCTCTTCCCCCATCCCCCAACCTCAGTCCTCTACCACTGCCTCTCTCTCTCTCTCTCTCTCTCTCTCTCTTTTAATCCCTTCCCCCACGTGCTCACCCCGCTCCTACTGCTGCCAAACCTCAATTGTATTACTAAAGTCTAGCATAAACCCCCATTGGTTACCCTTTTCCTTTCTAACACACCTCACATTTTACATTTACACCACTGTGACATATTTTTACCTAGAGTTGTTGGTTATTTAACACATTTTACCCATAACTGTTAGTTGGTTATATGCTGCTGTGACACACCCTTTACATAGAAACTGTTAGCTACCTGTTACATTTATACTTCAGTGTTAATTGGTTACCAACTGTATTGTACCCCACTATTGAAACCCCCTATCCTATTTACTAAAAGAAACCCCTCCCCAATTGTCTACCTTAACGAACCCCATACTCCTCACTATTGAATTTTCCCTGTTTTTACATTTTCTTAATAAAGTTTATTTTGCACCCCACCAGTGCAGTAGCTGTCCTCCAAGATCCCCTACCTGCTGGCAGGGTCACCCTGAAGCATCACCATAATTCTCAGTGTATTCTAAGCTTTCAAACTACCCCTGCCCTGCAGCATCATGCATATATCAGTTTACTGCTTTATCTGTTCTATGGGTAGGGTCACAGCCTTGTGGAGTTTGAGATTTTGAAAGTGTCTCATACTATTATGGGGTTCATAACCCTTTCTCCCCTGCAATTTATATCCCTTTTTCGAAGGGAGATTCAATTTTTAAAAAAATTTACTCCTGACTAAATTAAATCCTGGGCTATACATGAAAGACTGAAGAAAACATTGAAAGGAGGCTGATACAAGCATATATCTTATGGATAAGGCTATGATTTAGTCATGAGTATTTTAGTAAAAGTTATGGACAGGTCAGGGGCAATAAACAAAAATTCACAGCTCCTGACCTGTCCATGACTTGTACTATAAATACCCCTGACTAAAACTTACCTGGAGGGCTGCTACTCTTGGGGGGAGGCACTGCTCAGGGCAGTCCAGTGGGCTCAGGGCAGTCCAGTGGGCTCAGGGCCAGAGGCACCAGCTTCCGGGGACTGCTGAGCAGCGGCTACTCCAGTTGGCCCCCTGCTCCGACCGCCCCTGGGCCGGGGGGCGCCAAGCTGCGACTGCTCCAGCCGCCCCCAGGACTGCTGCTCAGGCTGTCCCTGGGGCCACCCAAGCAGGCCCCAGGGCCGCCCGAGCAGCTGGCTTCAGAGCTGCTCCAGCAGCGGCCAGTGTGGCTGTCCCTGGGGCTGCCTGAGCAGGTGGCCCTGGGGTCAGCCACACTGGCTGCTGTAGAAGTCATGGAGGTCGTGGAAAATCACAGAATCCATGACTTCCGTGACCTCCATGACAGACACATAGCCCTACTTATTGATTTATTTTTTCTTTTGAATTTTAGTTCTCACCTTCTTTTCCTTATTTCACATTCTCTCTGAACTTTTTTTGTGCATCATTTTTCACAGTCCTCATGTAATTGTTCCTCTCCTCCATATCTCTGCTTTCCTTCTCCCAAAGTCTTTGATTTCCAATAACCCCTAGACTCTCTTAAGGCAGCTTTGCAAAATCATCGTAACTGAGTATCTGCGTAGGAACAAAATCTACTTCCCAAGCCTTACTATGGGAAGCGGAATCACAAGACTATTTAACTCACCTGTCCAAACAAAACAAAAAAAAACCAAACACCAAATCTGCCAAGACAAAACAAAAACCCCTGTGAAGTTTACAGAGACCCTGAACACCACGCTAGAAGTGAATACAAGACTGACTTTATTTCCTCCTCCCACAGGCTTATACCTCCCTGCTATATTCCCCCTCACGCTCTATCTTCTCACAAGTAACACCACAAAAAATTCCTAATCCCTTGCTTTCAAGCCACAAAGCAACCTGTTGGAGGGCTGTCCTAAGTGAAATGCCAACACAGTAATGTTGGAGTCAAGCTTTGCAATGCAGAGCATGTGACCGGGTTTGAAATTGGACAAAACAATTTGGCCTCAGGGTAGCATTCACATTTTTTCCTTCTTCAAAGAGGTACGTCTTACCTTTGCTTCCATACTGCTCTGGGGGCAGATCATAAGGCACAGGAAAGGATGTCACTGGCTCATTACTTCCTGAAAACATTTTCTTCTTCACATGGAAGTAACCTGTATCCAATCCCTGTGAAAAATACACAGGAAATGATAGGTTTTTTGGTTTTTTTTTAGTTTTATGAAAGTAAAACGTTCAACTTATCACAGCGTGGATTTCCCTCACCATCAAAGAGTAGCTAAAAAAAAGTTCTCTCTCTCTTTCTGGGGTATAAACAGTGTACCAAAGCCTGCTCCTATCTTGAGAGCCCAGTCTCCCTTCTCTGCTCCAGTCCTTTCTTCCTCTTTTGATAACCACCATCTTGGCCCTGCATGTGGAATAAGTCCTATCTGCACCCACCCGCCTTGTCACGTAAGCCTCTACTAATCTAATTCTATACTCAAGCAGGGAAACCAAGGCGGTGGGAGTTGTCTTTACCTGGGAAACCCCGTACAAACTGCCCAAGACTCTTGTAGGACCCAGATGGGCAGTATATCCAGTCACAGCCTGAAGAGATGGTTTTGCACATAAACCGAGTCATGGTCACATGACATGGAAGTCTTATGATGAAAAATTTAATGTGGAGAAAATACTTCTCCTTTCTTTCCTCTGCTTAATTTTAGCACAAACTTCTTATCTAGATGACAGAAGTGTGTGTTATTCAGTATGGAGTTAAAATCCAAATAAAACCACTACACTTGTAATGAGGAAACAAACATCTCTTCAAAGACAAATCTCCCAGGCACTTTTGGATAATGTAGCACTGTTATGCTGTGAAGTTCATTGAAGCTTTGAAAACTCTGGTATGAAAAAATAAACCTCTGAAGTGTATTACAAAGTTTGGCAACCGGCATCACTATACAGAATGGACACTTAGAGGTTAGCGATTTGGGGGGGGGGGGGGGGAAAGAGAGATATCCGTGTATGCAGTACAAGGAAGACAAGGTGTCCTTGAAGTGTTTCACATAGATTTGGCAGATGCTATTCGGTTAGCTATCAGGTCAATGGAATTCCATTATCAGACTTTTGTAACAAATTACTCAAAACCAACCCTTTTAGAAATTGAGACTCCTTTGGGTTGCGTGTGAAAATAGCATCAGTCTTTTTTTTTTTTAATTAAAATAATCTAAAAAAAAATTAATATTTGAAAAAAAACCACAAGAAAACTTTTGAAGAGAATATTCTAAGACTTAGAATAAACTTCCATCCTTTTGACATAAACAGCCCTCTACAAACACCATCATAGCTGTGCTGTTTGTTAGTCTTTGACATCTGGCGTTATCTGAGTTTTGCTAGATTCCTGGATTATTGTTTCTGTAACAATACAAGCACAGTGTCAAATAGCCCTTGAGTTAAACCTTTGTTTATGGCACAATTAACTGAAATTGTTGGTTGAAATGACAGTAGCATTTATGTACAGTAATCCTCAACTACTTCGTGGTGTTCTCTACTGAATTTTTACTTAATCAAAATGTTGTTGTTTTGAAAAGTGAATGGTATGTATTACCATGCATTATATTGTAACATGGAAGACTGATGTAGAAAAGTGGTCTTTGATGTTTTTTCTTGATATTCTGGAAACTCTGAAGGTATTCATGACACTTCATCTCAGTTAGTAATAGAGGGAAGGAAGGAAAGAAAGTTACACTAGGGTGGCTCCTGATGGCCAGTCCATGAAATAATGCAGAACTTAATTTGGAGGCAGATGTCCATTTTGTCCCATGACTGGAAGTAATGAGCATCCATGAGCTATTGAGATAGAAGGCAAGAAGGTAGGAGATGGTACCTAAGTGATAACGGACACTTTTATCTAATAAAGGAGGACAGAACAAGGCCCTTGGGACAGATGGGCTGCTTTGATTTAAAAGGAAAACTTTGATTTCAAACCAAAAGGTGTCAGTCTTGGAAAGCCAACTTGAAAAGTTTGTCCAACAGATATGCTTACATGAACCAATGTCCATGTTAAATGTACCCCAGAGGGCTAGGGCATTCCCCGTAAGCAACTTATATTGTTGTAACTGGGCAAGGGCCACTAAAGTTAAGGAAGTGAGTGAGTAAGCTGAGATGTGCAAGTTGGAAAGTAGGAATGCTGACCGGAAGACGTTTCAGTGACCAAGTTATATAACTGAGAACATAAAGGAGAGAAGACCATCTATAGACTCATCAAGGTAAGAGAGAAAATGATGAGAGAGGTGAATGAGTTTGTTAACATTAGAAATGAATATGGAGCATTGCAAATGAATGGTGAATCAATTAAAGTTTGGAGTGACTATTTGGAAGAGCGATGAATGAGGAGAATCCAAGGGAGGAATTAAAAACATAAGCTGAACCAGGGCATGATATATTGCATACAGGAAGAAGGCACTTAGGAAAAATGAAAACAGAGAAAGTACCTGGGACAGATGAAGTACCAGTGGTTATGGTGAAGAAATTGGGTGGGAAAGGCATTAAGTATCTTACAAGTCTGTACAACGGTATTCTCAAGAAAGGAAAAATGCCAGATGAATGCTGTTAAAGTCTTGTGGAGCCTATTTTTAAACACAAATGAGATACTACACTGTGTGCTAATTATTGCCCAATTAAGCAGACATCACATGCTATGAAAGTACAGGAGAAGATTACTGAAAAGTGTCTGCATAGGATGGTTGAAACTTGGAAGAGTCAGTACAGATTCATTCCAGGAAGGAGTATAATTGATGCCGTATTTGCTCTACAAATTCTCATGGAGAAGTTCAGAGATCATGGACAGCAACTGGGTATGGTCTTTGTGGACCTGAAGGTGTACAATAGCGTACCGTGAGAACTAGTTTGGTGGAGCCTGAGACAGAGACGTGTGCCAAAATGTCCAGTGAACATTGGTCTGCATCAGGAATCAGCATAGAGTCCTTTTTTGTTTGCTGTTAAGGATGTAAGTGGGAGTACAGAATGAGAGCTGCTTTGAAACATGCTGTTCGCTGATGACTTAGTGATATGTGTGGAAGACTGTGAGACCCTATGAACTAAGCCAACTATGAACAGTGGCAACCTGGTTTTAAGTGCGCTGCATTAAGAATGAATATTGGTAAGATAGAGGCCATGATTACTGAGGGAGGAGGTTTCACCATAAAGGCTATCACAGGCAGAGAGCAGCTGCTTCTACAGAGTCTCTATTTATCTATTTTAGTTTCATCTATAGCAGTGGTTTTCAACCCCATAGTCCCTGGGCTATGTCTAAGGGGTCTGTGAAAGGTTGCTGTTAACATAGAACAGTGGTTTTCAACCTGTGGTCTGCAGACTGCTGGGGATCCGCAGACTATGTCTAAGTTTTCCACAGGGGTCCACAACTCCAACTGAAATTTTTTAGGGTCCACAAATCAAAAAAGATTGAAAACCACTATTCTATTGCATTCACCACTGAAATTCTAAGTGTCAATCTTCGTTCTATAGATGAACCTGGATGCCTGTAAAAGCACCTGGAAAAAAGGAGGGAGAACCGGCATAATTAGGTAACCTTAGGGACAGCTAAGAGGAGGAGAGATAAGATTTGTTCTCAGGGAGTGGAGCTACCAGTGGAACAATTAATTGTTTCTCATGTAAACAATTGCTGCAGTTACCACTATGAAGTTGAGCAACTGCGAATAGGAGGGCTGGAGGTCTATGAGATACTCTATCAATATGACAGGTTTCAGAGTAGCAGCCGTGTTAGTCTGTATCTGCAAAAAGAACAGGAGTACTTGTGGCACCTTAGAGACTAACAAATTTATTAGAGCATAAGCTTTCGTGGGCTACAGCCCACTTCTTCGGATGCATATAGAGTGAAACATATATTGAGGAGATATATATACACACATACAGAGAGCATGAACAGGTGGGAGTTGTCTTACCAACTCTGAGAGGCCAATTAAGTAAGAGAAAAAAAACTTTTGAAGTGATAATCAAGATTGCTCAGTACAGATAGTTTGATAAGAAGTGTGAGAATACTTACAAGGGGAGATAGAGCCATTACAAACATTGAATCTATCAATATGTGGTCCACATTATGAAAAAGTCTGAGAGTCCCCAGATCTAGACAATTTATTCTAGGGCTCTGTGCAGGAAATCCAGGGACAAGAAAGGAGCAGAAACAGAAAATGCATATAATTCATTTGTTGGGAGTCAGTTGGCTTCTTGAGAATTTATCAGATGTATCCACTGGCTGTTTCACAACCAGTAGCATAGATATCAGGTCCTTATGGGTACATTTAACAGATAAGTGTATAATTTGTAAATGATGCATTTTCTCTCATGTCACTTTAAGAACAAAAAGTACATACAGTTCAGAAAGCTGATGAGTCATTTATTTAAGAATAAGCACAACTTGGATCAAATAATAGCTTTGAAAGTTCAATCTACAGATTTTTTTTTCTTATCGCTACAGATTTTAGCATTTAACAATTTCTAGCATTTCAGAGAGAGAAAAGGAAATGAAAATAGGTAACATTAAAATCATTTAAAACCAGCAACTTTTATAGAAAGCTACTGTAATAATGAAGCAAGTATTAGATGCATGTACTTCTTGGCCTGGTCTTCTCAGAATGCTCATATTGGACTACAGGTCTAGCTGTATCTACACAGACACACAAATACACAGCAAATCTCAGTAAAACCATCGGTCCTGGAGTGTGAGACTACATACCCATATATTCACTCTGCCAGAACACACACACAGAAAACCAAAACAAAAGGATGGAAAAGGAAGCTCTCTGAATTTACTCATAGGAAATGTTTTTGTTTTACATCCAGTTTAACCAGGCTTTTCAACATACAGTCAAACTAGAACATTTTATGAAAAGTATGATGTATTCCGAGTGGATACTCTTCATATCTAATGTTGCTGTTAGCTCTAGGTGAATAGTCTCATAATCCTAGAATGACAATCAGCCAAAAACTAATCCAATGCACACTACTCTTGTCAAATAAAATAAAGCAGGCCAAACTCTCTCTGACTTAATACTTGAGAAAAAACTCAGAGTCAAGATATCACCTGCCATGTTCCAGGTGGGCCTTGAGTGGTTGATTGGAGGGAAGGCTTTGAGCCGGGCCAACTGCTTCGAGCCAGGAGCCTTATAAAA